CAGTAGTGGGCTGTTTACATTCTGACTGGGAGAGAAATATTTCAAATGGTAAGGGTTTGGACCACTATTGTGTAGCTTCCATATTTGCTGTTGAGCTCCCTTGAAGTGTTCTGTTTTGYCTCTCTTGGGGGCTTTTAGATCTTATTTTCATCCCTTTATTTCACAAGTGTGTGCCTCATGTGGTTCTCTCTTCATTGTTTTCCTTGGTACTTGGTGGGCCCTTGCATTATGAAGATTCATGTTCTTCAGTTCCAAGAAAGTTTCTTGAATTATTTCTTTTGTTATTTCTCCCACTTCGCTTTTTTATGTCCTCTTTCTGGAGCTGCTTATAATAAGTTCAGTATTGGACTTTCTGGTTTGATTTTATAATTTTATCTTTTCTTTCTCTGTTCTCCCCCCACCCCCCATTTTATGGAAGACTGTTTTAACATTGTATTCTACTCTTTGTTAGTCTTTAATTTATTTATCCTATATTTAATTTCCAGTGTTGTTTTTGTAGTTCTTTGTTCTTATTAGATACAATCATTCTCTTATCTCACCCTCCAACATCTGTACTATATAAATTCTACCTGTTCTTCAAGGTCCAGCTTAAAGTTTAACTTTTAWGAGAACTTACAGCACAGTCCAGCTCTCTGCATTGGCCAGGAATTCAATGGTGTCACTACAATCTGTGCCATCTAATGTATCAGAAGTTAACACAGACAATCCAGTTAAAAATTGTGAATAGAAGAGTTGGAATATAATTCAAGATAATCCCTCAAAATAAGACCAAGAAAAAAAATGAAAGACAAAAGGAAAAACAGATAAAATTAGAGGATCAAACCAGATGGTCTTAATATCAGATTAAAAGATGCTCCAGAAAAAGAAAATGGGGGGGAGGAAATTATTTTAAAAAAATAAAATGAAGTTTTTTTAGTAAAAAAAAAAAAAAGCATTCTTAGTTTAAAAGTTTACTTTTTCTTTATCAGGCACAGTGCCCTGTATACAGTTGGAAATAAAACAAGTGTTAAGCAGTCCTTGTTGTTTTGAATTAAATGATAAGCCATCCTAATCCTGCCCAGACAGGCTACCCCATGGGGATTCTCTTTTTTTTTTCTCTTTTTTCCCCACTTAATTGTTGTTTAATTAATTTACTTTTCCTTTTTTAATTGGTGTATTATAGTTGTACATAAACATGGAATTCACTGTGATGTGCTCATGCAATGCTGATGCATGCATATGACTTGGTTTGGTTAAATTGTTCTGCTGATCCTCCTCTTTCCCATTCCTGCTCCTGCTCCCCATTCCCTTCTCTACTCCACTGTTCTCCCTTCTATTTTCATGAAATCCTTCCCTTTTCTATTTCTCTGTAGCTTCCACATGTAAGAGGAAACGTTAAACCCTTGACTGAACCTGGCTTGTTTCACTTAGCATGATGCTCTCCATTTCCATCTATTTAACTATAAGTGACATAATTTCATTCCTCTTTATGACTAAGTAGAACTCCACTGTGTATATAGACCACATTTTCTCTATCCATTCCTCTGTTGACGGGCACCCTGGCTAGTTCCATAACTTGGCTTGTGAATTGGGCTGCTATTGATATTGGTATGCATGTGTCACTGTAATATGCTGATTTTAATTCTTTTGGATAAATAACAAGGAGTGGGATGGCTGGGTCATATAGTGGGTCCATTTCTAGTCTTTTGAGGAATCTCCACGCTGCTTTCCAGAGTGGTTGTACTAATCTGTAGTCCCACCAGCAATGTACAAGTGTGACTTTTACCCACATCCTTGCTAAGACTTATCATTAATGGTATCTCGATGACCGCCATTCTGACTGGAGTATGGTTCTGATTTGCATTTCCCTGATTGCTGGGGACCCAACAGCACTTCTGTAGAGTACCAAGAGCATCAGTATGTCAGCTACAGGGGCRCGGGACTTACAGACCTCTGCAGACCTTCCTACCCCACCAAGATTCTCTACATGACATAGTYGCAGTATTTCAATGCCTGCTTTCTTTGTCTTCCTCAAAGCTATCAACTTAGATTTCATAGTAAAAGCTCTTCCTTTCTCATTCATATTTCTTTGGTTCATGAAATATTAAATTGAACAATGCAGCTTAAATACCAAGAACAATTGGCACGTGCAGGACTGTAAACAAACATGTCTGAATATAGACTGGCCTCTGACCCAGTTATAGGACCAGAAGGGCTTGGCAGAGAACAGCCTGGCAGCCTCTGGCCTCCAGCTGGCCCAGAACATCACTGAGTGCGAAGAGCAAAGGACATTCAGCTGTGCAGTCGGTTGAGTGGCAGTCTGTCGGGACAGCACTGATGGCACTCTAGTCTTTGCATAGCAACAGACGGCCCTGGCAGAAGTTGATCTGAGCTCATCACCTCTCCTGGGTCCCCTTGCWGTCAAGGGCATGCACAGGATAGCCAGCTGACACCCCTTAGTGCTCAGTCTCCGTGACCCAGAAGGGGCCAGGCATCTTGGTCTGGATTGAAAAAAGATCCCCAAGCTGAACCTGTCACTCCCTGGCCGGAGTCCTCATGGATCCAACAGAACCATGCCAGGCCCAGAAGTCTTGTGCCCTCCACTCCAGGATGGGACACCCACTGTTCTCCTGGCTGGGACAGTCAGCACTGAACCATGTCTGTGCCTGCCTCCTCTTTCCCCTGCCTCCAACCACCAGGCTCTGCAGGAGTCAGATGCAGATTCTCGGACAGGAAGTAAGCTGTCCTACAGGTCTGGAGGGCCCCTGTGCAATATGAATTAATTTTTATAGGAGCGAATGAGATGGACCTGGAAATCCTATTCACAGTTTTCCTTACAAAGGGGAACCTCGAAATAGAGCTGACACTGGTTGTCATTAGGCAGGAAAGAGTACTTATGCTCCTGGGTCCTACCCAAGGGATTGGCATCACTTAACAGCCACCATAATCACAGGCATGAAGGAAGCCATCCTACCTGGTCCCTCTCCCTTGGAAGCAAAGACTTCTCTGCAAATAAGGGCTTGAGAAAAACCCCACAGATATCGCAGCTGAGGTGCTGCAGGAGAGCTTCACAGCAGACAGAAACGCAGGTCCATCAGCCAGAGGGCCGCTGCACAGACACAGGCCAGATGGAAGCCACTCTCTGAACTGGTTTCTTGATGGACTTAGTGACCATAACCGTTCTTCTTGGTACTGACTGGTTGAGATCAGCGCAGCAAGGGTGGCAGAACTGCGGCAGGTTCCACACGCAGGGCCCAGGCCCTCTCCTCGTTCCCTAATGAGTTTTCTATTTCTCCTGTGGATATCTCATGGTGATGTATGAACAAAATTTTTCACTTTGGATTTATAGTATTTAAATGTCAGCAAATACTTTGACTCTTAAGTTTCCTCTTTGAACACTGGATTGTAATAAGAGGCCAAGGCTGGACCATTCTTATCTTAGTTTATTTGGTTTTCTCCATTAGTTGCTGTTCTTTTGCTCTTGTGCACATTCAGGGAGGCTGAGTCTGTTTGGGCTGGCTGTGCCCAGCTGGCCTCCACCACTCACCCTGGCTGGGTTCACTGTGGCTGTGAGCCTGCACGCGCCTCTTCAAGGGGCCACGTGTCCTCACTCATCCATCTGCCCTCAGGCCCCACCAGAGTGAGGCTCTGTGCTTCTGACAGCTGGGAATCAGGCAGTCCCCTGAGACCAAGTTCTGAAGGCTCTCCTCATGTGTGACCCGGAGCTCCCACTGTCTCCTTCTGCATGTGGAGCATTGGCTCAACTCTTCTTAAACATGTTTCCAAATGCCAGCTATCCCTTCTGGAGAMTCTGCAGTGGCCTTGAAAGCCTCCTTCTACAGGTGTGGCTTCCCCTCAGGCACTGACCTGGATGTGCTTGCTCCTCCTGGTTCCACACGGTGGATTAAGCACTCTAAATGTGGCCTCATGGAGAAAATACTCAGGTAGTAATCCCTCTTCATATCACAGCCAGAATGCCTTCCTGCGCCTGGGAAGTGACAACCTGCCTGACTAAATGACATTTCCAGGGGCTAATGTTCACAACATCCATCTTMTTTCACGGCCCCCCAAAATAAGTTCTTGTGACTCCTTCTCTTACTCAAAGGTCACCCCTCAGTCATTCACCACGTGCCTTGTCCACAGAGCAGCTGTGCCAGGGCAGTGGGAAGGGTTCCCCGGAGACCAAAGAAAATACCCCAAGGGGGCTCATGAGGCCCATGCTCCCTGAGAAATACACAGGGAAAGTCCAATGGTGACTGCTGAACAGATGGCACTTCTGTCCCTCACTGCTGCACCAAGCAGGGCCTCTTCCCCCTGTGACATTCTGTTCAGTGGCAACCAGCTGGAGGAGTGACCCATACCCTTCCACAGTGCCTCAGCTCCACATCCATCCCTTTGACAGAGGGGTTCCACACATCAGGTGCAGAAGCTGTGACGTCATCAGCAGGAGCTTGCTTAGGGTCTTGTCTGATCAGCACCCCAGGGAGCAACTGTCCTGGTGCAGGTACAGGGAAGCAGCTTTCTACAGTTGACAGCGGCTTGCCTGATTCCCAGCGTGCAGGGGGAGCCTTGTCCTTCAAGACAGCACATGTGGACCTTCAGGCCCAGTGCCTCTCTAAAGTTGTTCCCTGAGCTAGGTTTTGGGGAATAAGGAGGGGGCACTCAGAGCAGGGTGTTGTCTGCCCCCTTTTCTCCAAGGATGGTACACCATGGAATTGGGCCTCCAGGTGAGAAAATCCCGACATCCCTTCTATGTAGAACCATCCTTTCCAAATGTCATCTGGATGGAAGGAATCTTCTATGACATCAGGCTACTGCACCACGTTCTCCTCAACAGAATAAAGCTATAGATGCAAGAGCTGTAATGGAAAGATTTATTAAAAATGATACTAAATTAAAAGACTCTGCCCCTTGCCATATTTTCTAAAAACAGAGAGAAAAGAAAAACTGAGTATAGGGAAAACAAATGGTCTGCCTCAACCCAGGACTGTAATAACACTGCCTCTCTTTCCTTGTTTTAGGGAATGCTGTCGATTTTTTGGAGACAATGGCTTGACTTTGAAGGTGTTTTTTACCAAGGCAGCCCCTTTTGGTGTTCTTTGGACACTCACAAACTACCTGTACTTACATGCAATAAAGAAAATAAACACTACGGATGTGTCGGTGTTGTTCTGCTGCAACAAAGCTTTTGTGTTCTTGCTCTCATGGATCGTTCTCAGGGACAGGTTCATGGGAGTGAGGGTAAGTTCCTTATTATCTGTCTTCCCCCTCACTCAGTCATGTCAGCCAAACCTGCCCATTGGCTTGCTTAGCTCCATGTGCTGGACCATGATCATTAGCTGCTGACCACCGTCCTTCCGATTCATAGCAGAACAGGAGCCTGGCAGGGCTGGTTCATGGTGTGCCTTGCAAACCTTCTTGCTTGCAAACCATACTAGATGAGCTTCCATTAAAGCACCTTTCATTTCAAAGCATTCCCTAAAGTATGTGCCAGCCCAAGGCCCAGCCTGGGAACAGCAATGTGCTCTGCTCTCTGTGTGCTCACCTGCCCCTCCATGGTGGCTTTCCAGGCTGCAGTACATGGCATGGTGACTTGTGTCCTGTAGCCTGGAGCTTCCTACCAACATCATCACTCTCTGGTTAGGATGCATCTGAAACCCAGAGTACTCTTGAGTGCCCATGAGTGTGAGCATCCTTGACCTTGCCTGGCCCATGTGTCTGCACCCCAAATGAGCAAGACACACTTGTGTGAAGCCCAACCAGAGGGTGATTTCACTTCCTTTGTGCCACAGGCGAAGGGCAAGGGAAATCGCTAGCCCTGGATTGCCTCGCATTGCATTCAAAGCCAGTCAGAGTGCACAACGACTGTATGAAGTATGACAAATGTGCTATCAAATGCCAGCTGAAACCCAGAGCAACCTGCCCCAATAAAAGGAGCTGGTGACATTTCGCCTGGACAGAATCCTAATGGTTTCTGCCTGCTCCCTCTGGTGGCTAGGAGCTGCTACTGCCCATCATCAGCTTGTCACAAACCAGACAGCTTTGGCCCTGCTGCTCCAGTTAGTGCTCCCCCAGTTAGAGAGCATCCCTCCTGCCTCCCACCTCCAAGCCAAGAGCCAGTTTGATGGGCAGCCCCACTAGAGTGAGCCATGCTGGAAACCAGTGGGGGCAGACTCTAGGCCTCCACCTCTGTCCTTGCCTCACGGTCCTGGGAACAGAGACATCACCCTGTGGTGGGTTCACACCCACCTAAGTTACTCAAACAGCAGCAGGGACATGAGTCAACTGCTCAGTTGTATTTTTAGCTTTTAGTAGGGGGAGAATTTGTTTTGAGGCTTCGTGTTAATTTTGGAATAAAAACTCACTCCCTGGGCTACCACCCAGAAAAGCCTTCAACAAATAAATGATCTAATACATCTCGGCAAGAACTGCAGGTGCTTCCCACAGYAACTCACCCCAAGGCCTTTGGACTTGACACTGAAGACTCAGATGCCCTTCATGACTGTATTGTGATGCAAAGAGCCAAGGTGATTCATGGGACTCTTGGGCATAATTCAGATGTCCTAAGCAAATACCCAATGAGACCACCTCACTGGGAAGAGAAGCTTGGAGATGAATTCTGAAGTTGGCAGAAGAAAACAACCTTTCTGAGGTTAAGGAATGGAGGTGCAGAAGAGCCCAAGCTGCTCCCAGCCTCGCAGAGAGCAGTGGGCACTGGCAGCCCTTTCCATTATATTGCTCTTCCTGGGTGGGGGCTCCCCAGCACGCCTGCACTATGCTACATTCTGGCCTGGTGGCTACTTGAGCACTTGGGTCTGTGTTGACTGGTGCAAACCACAATTGCGTCCTGCAGGCCTTCAGCTCTAGGCTGGCACAAACATGCAGGCCCACAGGGTCAGGCATCGATGTTGGGACCTTGTAACTTGCCAACACAGTGCAGGTCTCAGTCTCCTCTTAGAAGTCCAGGGCCAGTCACCAAACAGCCTCCCCCTTCAGGTTTCAGAGCATTCCCACCTGTCCTCCTTAACAGCCCAGGAAGMTGGCCACATCTGCAAGATGGAAGTTTGGCCCCAATAAACACATGGTGATGTTGGTACAAGATGATGTCTAAGTGGTGTCTCAGAGTTCGCTCAGACTTCTGGGTTAGCTAGCACCTTCCATGGGGCAAATTCCAAAGACAGAAGGGAGCTGAGCTGGCCCCCATTGCAAGGGCTGAGCATCGAGCTTGAGAGCCAGCTGCACTGGCACGAGAGACATAGCTGAGGCCCAACCTCGTGGGGGAGTCAGGTATGCAGGAGACTGACGGACAGCTGCTCGGTCATCAAGGCTGCCGCTGCAGGAGAGCACCAGTGGGTGGAGGCCATGCAAACAGATGGGCCTCATAATGCTGGAGACCTTGGCCACTTATGACACCARAAGACCAGAAGCTGCGGAAGTGTCTGTATGAGCAGTTGGCCTCGTGTGCTTCTGGGCTCTGGTGGAGGTGTGCTTTTCACATGTGACCTAGGCCAGAGGTTCTCATGTAGTAGTGAAGTACTCTGGCTAGAGTCAGGTGATAAGGCTGAGGGGCGTGCCTCCGCTCTTATATGCTGTTGGACCTCAAGGTGGTTACTAAACATCTCTGAGCCTTAGATGACCTGGTTTTTAAAGTCAGCAGAATATAACCCTAATAGAACAGTTGTGAGAATAAAATAAGGCAGCGTGAGTATGGCTCATAAAACTCAGTAAATGCTTTCTCAATGTTGTTCTTAGTCCCTCTCAGGTAGAAGAGGTGGGTGGATCTGCCCAATTCTCTGGCCAGTGCCAGAAGGTGGAGAACCCTTAGGGAGTTTTGATTGGCAAGAGATTGGGCCAAGAGGTCTTCTACCGAGGCCCTGAGCCTGTAGCACCTTCTTTCCATGATCAGTTCCCATCTCAATCAGATTCCAGCTGGCATTTTCAATCCAGATGTGCTAAGTACTTCACAAAGGGCCGTCCTGGATGCTAACTCCAGCATCTGATCCTGACTCCCTTGTGTGTGTGKGGGGGGGGTCTGTCCCCTGCGCCCTGAGCCCAGAGTGGGAGGACTCAGAGGGCAGGGAGCAGGGGTAGACAGAGGGTCACTCAGCTGCCCCCAAACACTGATGGTTTTTGAGTCAGTTAGAACACTCCTGGAGCAGGAGAGCCAATGCTGGGAAAGTTCATTTAAAAATTAGTCTTCTTTCCCTTTTGCAAAAGTGCCCCAAACTAAAAAGTTTCCAGATGGCTTCTGCTTGGCATGGAGCATGTAGCCTACCACAACTGCAGCCAGCCTAGCGGCTGCCCTGGCTTAAAAAGTATGGTACCAGTTACCCTCAGCTCCTCCTTGAGGCTGGCGGTTCCCTCGCTTCCCTCCAGCCCAAGTCCCAGAACTCAGATCCCTGCCCTAGCGACGGGACCCACCCTGGGCAGGCACCCTGAGGACAGACATCTGGCCTGCGCTTCCTCCTGTCTCCAGCTATCATGCCCAGATGAAGTAGAGGGGGTGGCCCTGGCCTGCCTGGCTGGGCACCGCTACTGCCTGTCAGTTTAGGACAGTTCAGTGGGGAGTGTTGTGGGGGCAGGGGACAGGAAGGAAGGAAGACATGAGGAGCCTTATCTGTACACAGTTTGCGCCCTGGGTGAGTGTGCACAGGTGCTTGGGACCTCAGGGAAGTGTTTCCACCAGAGAACAGATACTTTAGGTATTAGGTGCACACCCGCACTCTGCCAAGGGACTCCAGGCCAGAGGGAGACGCAGGCTCCCACCTCGGCTCTGCCCTGAGAGATGCTTCGAGCACTTGGCTGAAGACTCCCCTACAGAGGGCTACTGAGGCCCAGATAGTGGGAGTCCGTAGGCCCATGTCTTGAGGCTGGGACCACCAGGAGGTCACTGTCCCCAGTGCTGCCTATCAGAGTAAACCCTCAGGGCTCGGGGACCACTTTGGTGTCTGTTCCTCTGCTGACTAAAGCAGGGTGGTCACCTCATTCTCACTTCTGAGCCCTCGGGCCCTGGCCCAGGCCCTCTGCTCTGTCCCACCTGGGGAAAAGCTTTAGCTATTTATCACTTAATCAGCAAAGAAGAGAGAGCATGAGGCTTCAGAAAAGGTTTCTCCTGCTCTCCTTCACCCCCACACTTCTGCTGCAGGTTGGGGAGACCCAGGCCTTCGTGGAGACACTCCAGATGGCACGAAACCTGGCCGCTCTTCCCTCCAGATCTTCCTTCTTTTCTGAATTCTTGCTGGTACCTCTGATGCCCAGCCAGGAGGAATTGTCCCAGCAGTATCTTCTCTCTGCGTGTGTCCTGGGGGCAGAGCCCACCCCAGAGTCTGTCTGCTTTTCCACCTGTCCCTTTCTTGTTCTTCAACTGATCACTTATTGTTTTGCTCTCTCTGCTTCTTTCTCTCTTTGGATAGTTATCCCCAGGCCATGTAGCATTTGAATATGAAATATAGTGCATTTACATGGTGCAGAACAAAGCAGCCGACCACCAGTGAACTAAGCCAGAAAGAACAAGGGCTGAGCTCCTCTGGGATCTGATAGTCACCAGCTGCCTAGGGCCCATGTTTTATGGACAAAATAGAATTACATGAAAAGACTGCATGAAGTTTGCAGCAGAAGTGTGTGACTCAGATATGCTGTGAGACTCAACCACCACCTTCCACTGACCTAAGAATTGTCTTTCGGCCATGAAGGAAGCCTCAATTCAAAGCTGAGAGCAGCTGGCAGTAGCTGCTGCCATGCCAATCACACAGTCCTGTTGTTGAGCAGCAGCTGTGCCTGCACACCACCTATGCAACTTTGGGCAGGTTACATGGCCTCTCTGCACCTAGGTTTTCATGACTACAAAAGGAGACGAAAGATGCTATCTACCTGCCATGAGGGTAAGGTGAGGAAAGACATAGGAAACCCTTTCTGGTGTAAACCCTAGCCATGCGACATTGCTTTGGACAGCTCAAGGCAGTTTTGAAGCATCTGTAAGAGGGACAGAACTCTTGGCAAATCCAGTGGTTAGGCCCTTGTTTCCTAGGACAGCCATTGGTCTGCCAGCAGCACTGTGTCCATCTCCAGAGAGCTCCCCACAATCCCAGAAGTCTGTGTCTCGACAGGAGCACAGAGAGGAGCTGGGGGTGGGGCACCACTAAGGAGAAGCTGTGCCTACAGCCTAGGACCTAGGTGATGCCCCCTCGGGCCCTGCTGCTGGCGTGTAGAGTGGGAACAAGACCCACTGACCCCACTGTGCCTTCCCTGCTGAGTATGAAAACACAAAAAGCAAGGTCACATGAGGCATTGGAAAAGGTGAGAGAGAACTTGGAGTGCTTCCAGGTGACACTCCAGATTGTCTCCTGGGCCTCGTTATGGCCAAATAACTTGTCACCAGAATTAGGATCACTAGGTCTCCAAGAATTGCAATGACGGCCATAGCCTGAAGCTAAGCCACGTGGCCACTCTTGGTTGCCCCATCTCAGGTCCTCTGGCCGGGCTGACCTTTGCAAAACAAGTGCCCCTCCAAGCAGAGCCAGTTCTGATGAGCAGCCTCCACCTGCTGCTCCCTGGAGGCCCGAGGTGGGGACAGCCTCCCTCCCTCTGGCCCAAACCCAGCAGACTTTCTAGCTCACTGGCCCTCGCCTGGTCCCCCTCCTGTCCTGACCACTGTTTTCTTCCTTCCATCCAGATTGTGGCTGCCATCCTGGCCATTGCCGGCATTGTGATGATGACCTACGCTGATGGATTCCACAGCCACTCTGTCATTGGCATAGCCCTGGTGGTGGGCTCTGCATCCATGTCGGCCCTCTACAAGGTAGGCGTGGATGAGCTTCCAGCTGGCCTGACTCCTCCTAGCAGGCTGGTTTCCTGTGCTGCCTCCACTCTGGGGCACCCTGGGTGGCACTGGTACTGCTGAAAGGCATTTATTTTTGGTGCACCCCAGGCGGACAGCTACTGTTGGCTTTGGCCCTCTGGGCCTTTCTATCAGTGGTACATGTTTGCAGCATTTGGGATGAAATGATTGGCACTGGCTGGATCTGCAGATTTGCAGCTTCATTGTCACAGGTCCAGATAAGGGTGGGGCCCTCTAGCCTGGCTCATGTTTACTCAGATAAGTTCCATGCTGGCTGGACGTGCAGACCTGGAGCAGCTTTATCACATGAATCTTGACCACACCACGATTGTTCAGCACACGTTCCCAGGTGTTTTAGTCATCATCTGTGGGCTCAACAAACACAAGCTCAGCACTATGGTGGGACTAAGATTCTCCACACAATGGTGGGAACCCCTAGAAAACCCCTTCCCCGCTGTAGGTCTAGAGGCAACAATCTATTCCCACACCAGCGTCCCTTGCCATGTCCACCCCAATTCCTTCAAGCCTCCAGGCTGCTCTTTGCTCATCCTCCTCTCTCCCTCTGCCTCCTCCTCAGACATGTAGTAAAGAATGCAAACTTCTTCAGGCCTCCCAGCTGGGAGCCTGGCCTGAAGGACTCAGTGAGAAGCGAGATCTCAGAGAATGGAGTAGTGTAGAAAGTCACGAGGAAAAATGGTCCCTGTGCTGAGTGCCAGGCCTTGTGATTTGTGGAAAGCGAAGTGATTTTATATATGCTAATCCATCAGCTCTCTGCCCTTGCTGCCCACAGAGGCACACTTCACTGTAACAGGTGTGACAGCGCAGCATCATTCTGAGACTTCACCACCACTGTCCCAATGCAGAAAACATTAGAAGGCCACGCTTGTGCTCTGGCCAATGAGCTGCATGCTCATGAGGAGCAGATGTGCAGAAAGGCCACCTGCAGGGAGGCCTCCATCTTCTCTATCTCCCCCACCGCCTGGAGTTCAGCTAGGGGGCACAGGGGAGGCTGGGAGCTGCTCCTTCCCCTTCCTGTACTTCCTGCACGTGTGGCTGTGGACGGCTGGTAAGGAGAAAAAGCAGGTCCAGGCGCAGCAATGCAAGGCAGGGACTCAAACTGGACCTGCAGCACCAAGCAAGCTGGATGGAGTCTGGCCATCCAGCCACCTCTGTGCCTCTTCTCCCRGCTTCTGTGCCTGGGATGCTGAACAAGCAGGGCAGGAAGTAAGAGTTCGTTGACTCCATTAAACCCATGCCACTCTGTCACAGCGGTGGTGATCAGGGCACAGATGAGCAGAATCTCTCCACTTCTACTTAAGAGAAAATTTCCTTATAGCCAAAGCTCTTCTGAGAGGTGGGGGCAGTGGTTGTTAATCCCTGCTACCCAGGGACAGGGATCAGTTTTAGGGCCTCTGAGAGGTTGGGCAGGGAAGCTCCACTTGATGTGGTGTCATGAGCATTCAAACCTAGTGTGAAGACATGGGAACCCCAGAGATGCTCTCGGTGGACCCAGGCTGTCCATCTCTGCACCACTGAAATGGGAGTGCACAGGCCCGTTGCCCCTCACAGACCTCCCAGGGGCGTAGAGTTGTCCTAAGACACGGGCAGCCTGGTCTCCAGGTGCGCCACTCCGCTCACAGAGGCCTGAGGTCTCAGGAGGCCCTCACCTGCCTTTCTCTCCTGCAGGTTCTGTTCAAGCTCCTGCTGGGCAGTGCCAAGTTCGGGGAAGCTGCCTTGTTCCTGTCCATTCTGGGTGTGTTTAACATCATCTTTATCACCTGCATCCCCGTCCTGCTCTACTTCACTAAGGTGGAATACTGGAGCTCCTTTGAGGACATTCCATGGGGAAACCTTTGTGGATTTTCAGTCCTCTTATTGAGTAAGTGGCCACCACCCTGTCCAGAATCCCCAGAAAACCATGAAGGACAGACAGGACTCCATGGAAGCCTGCATCCTAAATCAGGATCACAGTGCTCTTTGCTACCCCAGTGTCCTGGCTGCTTTTCCAGATCTTTGCATTTCATAAAGTGCATCTTTCCAGAACTGCAGACACTGTGAGAGCAACAGTGCCCACTGGCACTCTGAGCAGTAAGCCCAGGGCCTTGCCCGTGACCTGTGAGTAGTAAGTAGTAAGGGTTGGTAAGGCAGTGCCAGTGGAGCTCCTAGGGCACTGCTTAGGTATTGGTGCTCAGTGAATAAGACCAGTCGGCATTATTGCTGATATCATCTTCCTAATCACTGTCACTCAATGGGCGGTGACATCAAAGCAGGCAAAACCCCATCCCAGAGCCCTGGCCCATACAGCCATCCCAGAAGTACTGCTAGCAAGCCAGGAAAGCAAAGCCAGTTGGAGGGCCTTTTCTAGCCTCCTCACTGGTCACCTTTCTGAATTCCGTTTCCCTTCCCCAGAGATCAGGGAAGAGGGGGCTAAGTGGTCAGGATGCTTGTAACTCATCCCAAGTTCACTGGGTCCCAGCAAAGGGTCATCAGAGAAACTGGGGTCAGGCAGGCAGTGGGAAGGCCCACTGCAGCGCTTCAAGTATAATTGTGAGTAACTCCCGCTTTCCAAATTATTTCAGCATTCAATATTGTATTAAATTTTGGAATCGCCGTGACGTATCCCACTCTGATGTCTCTTGGAATTGTCCTCAGTGTACCTGTGAATGCAGGTAAAACTATATGCATGATTTTCTACACTTGCTTGTCACGATCACATATACACAGTTGGACTCAGGGATTTACACATATATTCTCATACATAGTCTCTCTGGGCCTGGTCTAGGACACATGTTCAAACTTCTGCAAAGAAAGAAAAGCACTTAAGTAAAATGTTGGTGCTTGTTGTGTCTGCAATGCTGTCTCCATGATGTTCACATGCCACACCAAGATACAGAACCTCTAGAGCTGTCTCCATTCTAACTGGTGTGGGAGCAAAGATGAATATCATCAATCTATTCATAGACAGAAAATTATGTAGCAGAAAAATTTAATTTTTGCAAGTGACTTTCTGGAGGAGAAAATTTATTCAGRGTGTGACATAGAAAACTGTTGTCCAGCTGAAGAGGCGTGAACCTTGTTGTCCTCCACCTCCTGGAAGAGAGAGAGTCCTCTGTCTGTCACCTCGACTTGCATAGCCCTTGGGCTGTGGCCTTCACACAGTGGTCACCCATCCAAAAGCCTGCATTCTCCTGCCCTCACCTCCTTCCTTTGCCTGACTCAGGCTGGTTTGGATTTGGGGGTTTCTTCCCAGGATCTCCTGGCCTTGCATCAGACCTCCCTCTGCACCTGCTCCCAGCCCTGGCCTCACACCACACCTCCCTTTGCATCTCCTCCCAGAGAAGCCCTGATTTCCTTCCTTTCCAGAATACTCACTCTCTCAGCCTTGATACAGCTTTCTCTAAAGTATCTCCCAAACCCTCTGTGTCCAGGCCCCAGAGGGCCAGGATTCCTGGGAACCAAGCCTGTACCAGTGCAGGCCAATCAGCTCTCAATTCCTGGGCCTGTCCCTGTGACTCAGTCCTCACCACCCTGACCCATGAGCTCTGTACATGCCTCACCAAGGCCCCAGCACTTTCCAGAGAGCCACTTGGCAGCAGTGTCATGTGGCCTGCAGGAGGCAGCAGAATACTGGGCTCAGCCCTGCGCCACCATAGCCCCTCTGGGGTTCAGTGGTCCCCACTCATCTGGGCCTTAGCTCATTGTTTCCCCTACAAACAAAGGCTATGCTTGCCCTGGCTCTTTCAGTCCATACGGGGGTCAGATGGAATAATCCATGAGACAGTACTTGAAGATGCAGCAGCACCTGGGCTCTTGGCAGAGAAGCAATTCAGCGGCACCGGCTTCTGAAGGGTACTTTGTCAACAGCCCCCTCCATTCTTTGCATCTTTAATTTATAGGCATATGAGGTTCTTATGGCAAAAGGCATGTTCTAGGTGAGTCTTACCTAAAACTTATTCTGGTCCCATCCCACAGCAGGTGTTCGCAAGATTAGTGAGAATCATTTCATATTACTAACTGCAACATGAGAGGTTTAATAAGGGGTCAGCAGAGGAATCCAATTCCTTATTGGAGGAGAGAAGCACAAGAACCTGCTGATTAGGAGCTTCTCAGAGAAGAGCCATCACCTGCCTTTTGGACCCCCCAGAGGTCTGCCCTTGAGACTGGCAGGGAGAACTGCCCCACCTCCTGTGAATCAGCAGAACACTTTGCTGGCATCAAAGTATTTCTGAATTATGGTGGGATAAAAGTGTCATCTTATTCCATAAAAGGGCACTAGAATTTTTTTTCAGGTTTAGCTTTCATTCCTCTTACTCTTTCTCTAACCACCTGCTAGATGTAGTGGAGTCAGGGAGGGAAAAGAAGGAGGGGGATCAGGGAGTGGAGCAAGTGAGGGGTGACAGCAGAGGAACGAGCCCCCAGTGCCAGGGGTGGACWGTTGTCCAGGGAGTCACTTTATACAAACTTTAGTTGTGAAGTGTGCACATCTCTATCCTGGGTGGGTCAGGCAGCATGCCCTGGGGAAGGCAGACTCCAAATGTGCCCAGTCTAGGAAAAGGACAGAGAAGCCCAAAACAGCACAGGGTGGTTGAGCACCATCAGGCTGGGAAGGGGAGGACAGTCGGAGCTTCAGGAGCTGATGTGAACCCACTTCTCCCTTTGTCCTCTCACTGGATGTGTGTCAGGATGAGCCCTGTGCTTGGACAGCAAGGATACCACAGGCACAAGGACCTTGCACCAAGTGATGCCCACTGCATAACAGGAGTTTGCATCTATCATCTTGGTCTTTAAAACCTATGTGTGTGTGCATGTGTGTTTGTGTGTGTAGATACACATGTACATACACATGCACAGATTGTAAATTAATGTTTTTAAAATATAAAAATAAAGCATTTCATTATAGACACTGTGAAAAGACCAAAAATAAGTCACACCCAGACTTAGTCACAACAAAGTTTTGCTGTATTTCCATCTAAATACACATATATCTCCAACTTCCCTTGATTGATTGATTGATTGATTGAGTGGGGGGTGTACCAGGGATTGAACTCAGGGGCACTCCACCACTGAGCCACACCCCCAGCCCTATTTTGTATTTTATTTAGAGACAGGGTCTCATTGAACTGCTTAAGGCCTTGCTGTTGCTGTTGTTGTTGTTGTTCAAGGCTAGCTTTGAACTTGCAATCCTGTTTCAGTCTCCGGAGCTAATGGGATTATAGGCGTGCACCACTGCACTTGGCCTTATTTATTTTTTAAACACACAAAAATCAATGTTTTAACTCAGATGCCAAGTCAGTCTTGGAGGTGAAGTATAGTGCAAGGCTCAGGACACAGTTTGGGAAAGTTCAAGTGATGTACTAGAGGCCACCCCAGCCTCCTGGAAGCGAATCCTGCCAGGAGCAGTCTATGGTCCAGGAGGACACTCCTGCTGCCGAGTAACCAGTGCTCTGTCTCCAACAGTGGTTGATCACTACACCAGTCAGATCGTCTTCAACGGGGTCCGGGTCATTGCCATCATCATCATCGGCCTGGGCTTCCTCCTGCTGCTCCTGCCGGAGGAGTGGGACGTCTGGTTGATCAAGCTGCTCACCCACCTCAAAGTGAGGAAGAAGGAGGAGACGGTGGAGGGCGGGGCTGACCTGGGCTCAGGACCCCAGAACAGGAGCAGGAGAGCTCGCCCTTCCTTTGCGCGCTAGGGCCTCTCCTCTGGGACTCTGGGGCTGCCCCCACAGTGATGATTTGGAAGCCTGTCCCTGACAGGAGGAGCCTCGGTTGGGTAAGGTGTACATACCTGTACAGTTTTGGTAACTGCGGTAAGTCCTACGGTATTTATTGGCATGTCCAATTTGCTTGCACTTTTCCACATCAGACCTTCACTCAAGGGCACCGATTCAATAAGGAAGAGAAGGAACCTCAGCGCTTTCCCAATGAATGTAAAGCGGGTCACCATGAGCCTTGTATTGATTGTTTCTGACGACAGGTGTGCTTAACAAGCCAGGGCAAATGTTTCGAATCTTAGCAACTGAAAATGACATTGTACACTGTGATTATTCTTCAGCTACAGTAGGTCATATTTTGTTTTATACCAGAGCTGTACTCTTAATTTTAAGGAATTTCAATGAACCAAAAGACAACTGTCAGTTAATCCAGATAGATGAGTGGATGGGTAGCTGGGTGGACAGATGGATAGAAGGGTCAATGGATATAGGGTTGGTTACGTGGATGGGTGAATAGGTGGATGGGTGGCAGGATGGGTAGATAGGACAATGGCATTAGAAGAAGTGAAGCAGAAAAGGATAATGGACATGACAACCATCAGAGGACAGGCCTGCACCAGGTCACGAAGGGGAAAGGGAAGCCCAGCCTTTGCTGGCCTGCTCTCTCGTGTCTTCATAGATCATACAGGAGGATTTACAGTGCCTTCTACAGAATTTTTGTCTTTACCTATGTGACCCAAGGTGACATTCTAAGTCACTGGCGCCGTCTTATAATTTAGATGTAAAATCTTTAGAAAAAAAAACAAAAAACTATATGTGTGTGTGTGTACAAAAAATGACAAAGCTGGTGACCAATGTCCGAGGAGCCTGGTTGGAGGGGCACAACGCGCTTGTTAAGGTAGACCATGTGGAAAGAGCCACGGGTGGCTTTTACTTCCAGACCAGACTGAAAACTTATTTACTGAATCTGCAAACCTTTTTATGAAATTTTAAGCACCAGGCTGTTTACTTACACAACTTAGGTCTGCCAGACAATTCTATCTGTGATAGATTTGTAAAGAGGGATGGGGTTAGAGTTTACTATTTTTGAAGTTTACATTGTTATCTATGAAATGGAAGCATTATTTTGAAACGTTGTCATAACCCAATGGTGCATTCTGTAACCATGGAGTCTTTTGTTTCCTGGGGGAAGGGGCATTCATGACCTGAACTTTTTAGCAAATTATTATTCTCAGTTTCCATTACCCGTTTGGCCAAACAGATTAATAAAATATTTGAAAAAGAAGTGCTAAGTATGGTCTTAGTGCCCACATTGTCACTTGCCACTATAAAAGTCCCATGTAGGCCTGAAGCTCGGGCTCTCCCACACCTGTCCCTTGCCTTCCAGCACCAGCAAAGCAGGTGGGCTGCCTGGGAGAAGGGGACTCTTCCTGTGAAGATAGAACTAGTAATAGTGAAAATGACATGCAGAACTGTCCCAGCCTCAGAAGCCCTCATCCTGAGGCAGCCTGCCCCTCTCCCTCCCTCCTGCTTCCTCTCCCCCAGGCTCTGTCTGCTCAGCTCTGCTGCCTGCCCCCAGTCCTTCTGTTCCTTTGCAGGTGGTTACCCCACTGAGCTCACGCTGGGTTCTCCTTGTGCCCCCAGGTAGCATCCTGGTCCCTAAGTTCACACAGTCTTCCCTCTAGTCTCCTACCTGCTCACCTGCCTCATGTCCTGACCTAATTCTGGCTTCACAGGGAAGGTGATTTGCCCATGTCTGTAACGTTCCACACTGTTCCAGGTGACTGTGGCCCAGGCTGTGAGATCCAGTACATCTCGTGGAGGGCTGTAGAGGGTCAGGTTCCCAAGATGGGTGTCAAGGGGGGAGCCCTGAAGTGTACCTCAGCTGTCACCCCTCCTGGAGCTTCTGCATGATGGGTACCAGTGGCAATGTGGGCTCTGAAACTGGGGCAGCTGGCTTCCCAGAGGGCCCCCACCCAGTGTGTCCAGGTGCATGAAGGCAGAGGCCGGACAGAATCCTGGTTCAGACACCTCCATCACCACCATTTAACCCAGCCAGACGAACATTCCCTCTGAGGCCATATCATGAAAGGCTGGGAAGCCCTTTCCTAAAGTTACCTTCTTCTCCTAACCAGCATAAAGGCCTCTGAAGATCCAAGAGTACTGATGCTAGGACTCCACAAGGTACCTGCACCCTGTGTTCACAGCAACATCACTCACAATCGTCAAAGGGCGGAAGCAGCCAAGTGTACCCAGATGGATAGATAGACAGATGTGTGTGCATACAATGGAACACTATTCAGCCTTCAAAGCAGGGAAGTTCTGACACATGCTCTGGCATGGTTGGGTCTCGAAGTCATTACGCCAGGTGACAATGAGCCAGGCAAAACGGAAAGTGCTTGCGACTCTGCTCAGGAGGGACCTAGAGTCCCAAATTCATAAAGATGTTGCCAGGGGCTGGATGAGGGAGGTAGAGGAGTCAGTATTTAAGGGGGACAGAGTTGTATTGATAAGAGAAAGTTCTGGAGATGATGGTGGTAACAGTCACATATGACATCAATTGCTTAGACCTGCTTGCTTAAAAAGGCTCACTATGTGTATGTTAGGCCAGAATGAATAAGACTAGAAAGGATGTGGTTATGAAATAAAAGGTGAAAATTCTGTGCCCCTTTTAGGACGTTAGAAACCTGAGTTGGGCATGGCATGGGTTGAGAGATTATTTTGCAGAAAGTATATGACCATACCCCACCCACCCCCATACCCCAGAGACAGACAGCACTAGCCCTTGAGCACTGAGGGGTGCTGCAGCAAACCTCGAATGGACCCCTAAACACAAAGTCCAGGAAAGGAGTTCTGGCAGGCGGTTCTGGGTCCACAGGGTGCTCCTGCCCGGCCCAGGAACATCCGCCCTCTGGAGACCTGTCTGGGCGGCAATCAGCGCCCTTTCCCTGTGATCCAGAGAAGAGCCTGCGTGCAGCTGGTGGAGGCAGGAAGCTCTCAGCAGCCCCCAGCTCTCCCCTTTCTTTCAGAACCTGAAGCTGTTATGTGACTTCAGACTGCCCTGCCACTGAGCCAGAGCTGTCTAAGAACTCGAGCTGCACGGMCCCTGAGCTCCTGCAACCTGGCCAGCTGGCCGTGGCCCTGAGGCGCCATCCTGAACCCTGGGAGCGTCACAGGAAGCCTGCCGGACTGTTCTGAGGGCCCTGCCTGGCATCCTCCTTCCACAGAGGTCAGCAGGGCCATTCCTGTTCCAAACAGATCCTGAGACTCACCAAGTCCCAGAGAGCCCGGCCGCAATCCCCTTTTGTTAAAGACATCGAGACGCCTTTTCTATGCTTCTAAGAAAAAGACTTTTATGAGTTCTTTACAGTGTTTACAATATTATAAATAAATTTTTAAATAATATTGTTATATAATTTTTTAAATCAACATTGCAAAATTCTTGAAAAATCCTTTTTGTGAGTTAAAATAGTGGTAAATTTCAGCTCAGGTAAGTTGGCTTCATATTATGGAGATCTTTGGAGTTACTAGAATCCCAGGACTTCAGATTGTATGTAACTACAGCTTAATGGACTTAGAGTTCTAGTTGAGAGAAGCCTTTGTCCCTGGTTCTCTTATTTTAAAATAATTCCTCCTTCCTGCAGAGACTAGAGATGCCTGTAGTTACTGTGGTGGCACTAGTGGCAGCGGGGGCAGGCACAACAGTTGCATGGGGACACTACATTGAAGAGGACCGGAGAGTTCTTAGGCATGCTCTCTGGAGGTATTAGGAAGGCGGACAGGTTTGCCTTCATACCTGCTGCTAGGTTCGGGGTCTGGCATGTCTCCAAGGCCCAGGTATTGGGGATTCAGACCCCAGCCAGGAGCTGTTGAGAGGTAGTGGAACGTTTATAAGGTGGGGCCTMATGGGAGGCCTGCAGGCCACAGAGTGTTCCCTGAGGGAATTGTAGGGCCCCAGCCCCCTTCTCCTTTCTTTTGCATCAGCCATGAGGTGAATGTGCTTTCTCTGCCATATACTCCTGTCATGACATGCCACCCCAGGCCCAAAAGCATCAGGGCCAACCAATCATGAACTGAAACCTCCAAAACTATGAGCCCAAATAAACCTTTTTTCCTCATAATTTGGTTATCTTAGGTGTTTGTTGCAGTAACAGAAAGCTTAACAGCACCTGCCTAGCTTTTCGCYGGCTGCTCCACTCCATTGTAAAGCACACAAGAGAAGAGGTTCTTGCAAAGGGCCAGCCTGGAGGGACTTACTCCAAAAGGAGCCCACAGGATGCCCCATGTTCATTCCTCACTGATCACCAGAGCCTTTCACCTTGGTAGGCATCTGTATCATGCTAATAGACTCCATGGGGAGTCTCAGAGGCTGAGGTGGGGCCCAGCAAAGTATAGGGATCAGAAGCCCACACATGAGTGCCAAATGGCCCTATACACTCAGACAGCTCCTCCCTAAGAAGGGTCCCAGACTGCTTCCCTGTGGCTCTGGTCTGCAATGTGCAGCTTCCAGGAGGCCTGAAAAGGTGGCCTGGAGGAGGCTCGCCTGTGCTGCTTGGCCTGCCAGGGCAGTCAGTGTGATGATCCTTGCCCCATCCTATCTCTGCACAGGGGCTATTTGAGCATCAAGAGAAACCCCCACTGGTGCACTGCTTTGCTGTTCTCTTCCAGCCTACACCGCCTAGAGGGGTTTAGAGGTTGAATTTCCCCCCTCTGACCACTCTCTTTTGGCACCTCCATTTAGGAGCCCTGTTACTAGATTACACTAACTGGGTGGAATTATTCACCCAGTGTCCCCAGTCTCCCTCTTTATCTGATTTCATCCTCACAGTGAGAAAGCTGAATTTCTGGCATACCTCATGGGGATGCAGGGAGTCAGGCACTTTTCCAGGATTTAGAGGCATCCCTGTTGAATGGTATCACTCCATGTGTGGAATTTCCTCTGTGTGTGTGTGTGTGTGTGTGTGTGTGTGTGAGAGAGAGAGAGAGAGAGAGAGAGAGAGAGAGAGACTGTGGGCTTCCAATTAGCACATCTTTCCAATTAGCTATTGCTACTTGTTCAAATTAAGTTATTCATGTAAGCAAGTCACTGTGTGATAATTGATATATTTCATTTAATGATACTATTTAGAGCTAGATATGCAGTTATTGAGGTTCAACCTGGTGACTTCATTCAGTCCCTATTGCAAGCAGTGACCACTTAGAGTGATCCTACTATTTTTCTCCAAAGCTTAACTTTAAACATTCAAATATTTCCTTCAGTACCACTTTAAAGTGCAAAGTACATTTGGATATTTAACTAACGYCAGATCTGGCTCACCTGAAGTTATTGCTTCAAAACTTTGACAGATTACTTTTACCTAGATTTCCTTTGAATTTTCTGATAGTATTGAGTTTTTAATGTAGCATCATTATTGGCRTTCAACCCCTGGTGCTAATCGCACACCATTTTATTACCAGGTATTCCCAGGCATTAAATCTCATGCCCTCTCCCCTCTCCTCACTTCTGCACCAGCAGTCACAGTGCCATCTACACATGTCCAAATCAGTTGTGTCACTGACATGTCTCTAGGAGTCTCCCTGTGCCCGTCCTACACTACCACCTTCCCATTCCCATGCCTACCTCCCAGGCYGCTGTGGGTCCCCTGGACCATCCTGGGATTGCAGCGCTGGGATGGCTATGCTGCTAACCCATGCCAAGGGCGT